TGAACTTAAATTTACTGGTTCTTATAAAAAAAGAATGCATCACCCTAAGTCCGACATTGATCGTTTATATGTCCCTAGGAACAAAGGTGGTAGAGGCATGATACAGCTTGAGTTGTCATACAAGACAACAACCATAGGTCTTTCTGAATACCTGGAAAATTCAGATGATTGGATGCTGCAACTTGTCAATAAACATGAAAACTCGAATAAATTACATTCAGTTCTTAAAGAGTCAGCTAAATTTTCTTGGCAGCTGAACTTAGATACGGATAACAGAAACCTCAACCAGCTAACACCAGAAATTGCCCGTGAAACAAAGAAAGCAGCCAAAAACAACGGTTTAAAACAATTGGAATCGCGATGGCAGGAAAAGCCCCTCTACGGACAGTTCGCAGCTTGAAGCAAAAACGTTGATGTAGACGAAATGGCGATCCATCAATGGCTGAGAAGCTCCGGACTGAAAGGGAAAACGGAAGGCCTTATCCTCGCCGCCTAAGACCAAAGCCTCTTCACGAGGAACTATCAAGCCAATGTGTTGCACAATGGAGCAAATGGAAAATGTAGATTCTGTGAGGAAATGGTAGAAACGATTGACCACCTTGTCTCAGGTTGTTCTGTACTGACGCCAAATGAATACAAAAATCGCCACGATAGGATTGGTCAATTCCTCCACTGAAAAATTCTCAACCACTTCTCCTTAGAAACCAAGAGTAACTGGTACGAGCACCATCCAAAACCAGCTACTGAAGGGAAAAATGTCATCATTCTCTGGGACTTTTTAGTCCAAACTGACCGCACTATACAGGCCATATCGTCCAGACATTATTGTCAAAGATAAGACCAAAAACACCTGCCTACTCATAGATATGAGTGTGCCGTCAGATAAGAATGTTTCTGCAAAAGTGTTTGAGAAACACTCCAAATATAAAGACCTGGAGATTGAAATTGGAAAGATGTGGCACCTCAGAACAAAGACCATTCCAGCAGTAGTAGGTGCCCTAGAACTGACAGAGAAAGGAACTGCTAATTATGTAAAGCAAATTCCAGGTGATCCATCCCTTAACGTGGTCAAAAAATAGTCCTGAACAGCACTGCACACATACTGAGAAGAACGCTTTCTATTTGAACAATTCTTTTAAAGAAATACTTTTTATGATAACGACTTTATTTTTATACAGCCAATTCTTATATATATACAGTATAACAATGCTCTTAAATTACTCCAATTTCACTCACCCTAGGTGTTTGATCTAAAAATAGCAAATCAAAAGAAATTGACCGGATGATAATAATAATAATAATAATGAGGCCCTATTATGGGGGAATTTGAAATATGAAATAATTGAGATTTCGGGATGAAAATATAAATATTTAGGTTTTTGAGTCTTTAAATATAAAATACCTTTGGTTCCCAGTATGAAATGTGGAATAACAAAATAATTGAATACCTCTTAAAATGTTATGTGAGAATTATCTACTTGATAACAGCATTGACTTTTTATACATTCCAAAAAATTACGTAACAAGTTATTGTAATACCTTAACTACGCGCTACTTTACATATTGTACAAAGACGATACCCCGGGGAGCATCAATTCTGTCTGCCCCGGGGTCATAACATAGAGAGAAAAAATGCACGTTTGTAATTACAAAGACTTGAAGATGTAAGAGATATAATACAAGAAATTGATCTCAAGCATTGACTCAATTGACTATTGAGCTGTAGACCTGTTAAGATACCAACCATATTACACCTGGGTTGTTCTTTTAGGCAGCCTTTCTACTAGCCTGGGTTAAAACATATCCGGGTTAAAAGTTTCCATTGACTCACTTTAAAAACGGATAACTTTTAACCCGGATATGTTTTAACCCAGGCTAGTAGAAAGGCTGCCTTAATCTTTTCAATCTTTTTAGGGATTTAAAAGGCTTTTCGTACTTTACGTTTAGGAAAAATATCAATAGCATAAAATCTACCGCAAATACTTTTGGCTTATATTATCTCAACGAAATAGACAAGAACATCAAATAGCATCATCAACATGTTTTTATCTACATTGCTTTATTAAGTTATTCTTATCTTGAAAATTTTGTTTTTGGCCATATCTTTGATTTCAGTATGGCGCCAATAAGTAATGGTAAAAGTGATTATAAGTTACGCAAGGAAATGTTATGAAAAGCCACAAACACGCAACCGCGAAGAGAATTTGGCCCACTCCCACTGTTTTTTTAAACTTGATGAAAGTTTAAATCATAAAAATAATGGCCACTGATCAATTTAAGCCTTAGAAATATTCTGGTAGTTGACCAGAAGTCGCTTTACTGGAAGCATGAAAAATGCAGGGTCAGCAAAATTTGGACATTCGAAAACTGATGATATCGTCAGAAAAAGCTTGGAACGAGAAACGTGACTTCCGGTCTTCTGCCACAAGGTTCCCAAGACTTAATGATTTAAGCCTTAAAAATTTCGGTTGGGCTGGTTGCTAGATGGTTATGCGAAATTCCCTGTCTATAAAATATCTACTCATTAGAAACATGTAGTCAATCTGCAGCATTTATTCTGAATTCTTCTTGAGAACATCGTAAGAGTTGATTTCACTTAGTTTTAGTTTCGCATTAACAATATTTTTAGAATTATTTCTTGCTATTGAATGCACCTAAGACTGGAAATGACTAGAAATAACAGTATGACTGTAGTATGAAGAATCGATTAAACAACTGAATTTACTGGTTGTTAAGGCTCTTGGCGATTAGTAGAGCCAAAGAAGATATCCCAAAAATTCTTCAAGCTCATTGTCTCTTCCAGGCATGTCTATAACTGGCCCCTTCAGGTTGTACCCTCCACGCAAAGACTTAAGACTATCAATTTTGGTACATGTATGTTTTTAGAGTTTCTTTAGTTGTTCCCAAAAAATAAGTTGAGCAAAACAATGATAAATATTTCATTCAATGGCCTTAGATTCCCCTTAAAAGTATCAAATGATTCCACAGTTCCAAAGAGAATTAATTCCCTATTTTTACCCAAGTACGGAATCTATTTCATTTTTATGCACCCATTCTTTACACATTTTCAATATTTTTAGCTGCAAAGATTGGTTTTGAATTCAAGACTCGGTCCATTTTGTATGTGAGTCGGTTCAACTTTTCCTGACACCTGAAGGCAGAATGGAACATTTGACAATTTCGAAATACCTTGCTTTGTTAATCTTGAAATATAAAATAATTGCAAGATATCATCATGAAATATGAAATAACGTAATCCCCCCTTATAGGGCCTCAATAATAGTAAGCGATGTAGCAAGAATTGATGTTAGCAGGAAAAATGGTGGTAGGGGGCTGATAATTTGTGAGAATTGTATTAAAAATGAGACAAACATCCTGGCTTGGTATGCTAAGCACGTTAGAGGCAATATTATGTCAAAAGTAAGAGACCTTGGGACAATGAATACTGAGGAGGCAGTAGCACCAAATGAACATAAAAATGAGGCAAAAAGGCACTTGCAAAACGATGGAAAGATAAGCCGATGCATGGGCAATTTACTAAGAATACTGACGGAATTGACTGGGAAAAAGCTGGCCATGGTTAAGGAACGGAGATCTGAAAGGGTGCACTGAAGCATTAGAGCAGGCGCTGCGCACTAATTATACCAAGCATTACATTGATAAAACAAGCGGTACGCCTTTATGTAGAATGTGCGGTGACAAGGGAGAAAAAGTTAGTCATCTGGTGAGCGAATGTGCTAAACTGGCACAGATAGAATATAAAAGACGACACGACAATGTGGCAAGGTATATTCATTGGTTGTTAGCGGAAAAGTGCGGATTTGCAAGAGCCACAAAATGGTATGAACAGAACCCCGATTAAGTTTTAGAGAATCACGAGTTTAAGGTACTGTGGGATTTTATGATTCGATGTGATAGGGTTGTTGAAGCAAGAAGGCCAGACATTGTTGTTTTTGACAAGAAAAAAAGGATGTGGAGATAATCGATATTGCCATTCCTGGTGATAATAGGGTAAATGGTAAAGAACAAGAAAAAATTGAGAAATATCAACCATTAAAGGAGCAAATCGGAAATCTGTGGAATATGAAGAAGGTGACAGTCATCCCTGTTGTGATTGGGTCATTAGGATGTATATCAGATTGTTTTGAAGAGCACATGGAAAAGATCGGAATTGATGTAAAGTTACAGGTGATACAAAAGACAGCACTGCTAGGAACAGCCAGGATTTTGAGACAGATATTGTCTTTACAATTAACTTGAGATGACAGAATGGGACCTTTGTCAGCCTGTTGCTAACTGCTCCCTCCTATATTATCCGGACCAATTAACATCTAGGTGTCTGTGAATCACTTAATTAGCCATGATAATGATAATAACAATGTATAGGTCATAAATACACAAATGGACATCCGACGTATGAAGAATAAAACCCACAGAAATGGATGGCTTCTATGCCCAAAGTTGTGAGTATACGAATTTATAGCAGCAACTTGTATATGAAAATATTAGAATTCACCATTTTCTTGCATATTGCAATCATGCCAACCTTTTCAGCTTCTCATTTCTTACCTCATGAAGTCTCATGATCTCCACATAAACAGCTTTTATAGCAAATAGTCATTCGGTTTACAAGCTTTGTGCCTTTTTCAGAATTTCCTTGAAAGTAATCAAACCATTTCATAAATCCCACATGCTGCCTGAAAACTTACAATTTTCCAGCACCATGTAAGACACCTACCACTCCTACCACTACCCCCGGTTGTGATACCAGTATCTATGCCACGCGTTGAACAGGACATTTTTGGTGTGTCAAGGAGAAATAAGAATAAAGATAGTTTGGTTCTCAGTTACTAGTGACAAATCTTCCCCAAACTGAAGGGACCATAGAAGCATTGGACTCTTGTTCGGCGCGCCCCCACAACTTGCCGTCCCTCGCAATGCCGCAACCGCCGCCACAACGCGCCACAAGAATAAATTTTGTGCAGCCTCGTTCTTCCCCATGGTCACTACAAGGAGGAAATGAGTTGAATTGATATGGAAAGTTGAGTTGCTCCTTTTGGAACGTAGAAGCTAGATAAATACGATTACAATGTGACAAACATTCTGGAAAAGCCGGAAAAGAAATGTTATTTTCAATCCCAGAGACTACTGAAATTTTAGACGATAATGGAGCGAAATTTCGGGTAAGTCGTAACGGCCTTCGGTATTTTGCTAAACCATGCTATGGAAATTTCGTGGCCTTTCTGACCAGTCATGCAAAAACAATAATTTTTCAACCGCTGCGCTAACGCGAATCATCAAATTACCTGACCATTTCATAGAAACTTGATAAGCTTTGCTTTACCGAAAACTAATTTCGTACAGTAAACCAGTTAAAGATTGAAAATCAGTTAAAGAGCTATCACTGTTCCCATGACAGCACCAACCTCAGAGGTCCTCCAGCGAAAAGTGCCCCCTTATACATTAGGTGAGAAAAAGTATTGCACCACCCCCAAAGGCGCCGGAAGCTTCATGATGCGGCGGGGGCAGGACTGGCAGAAAGGGCACCTTAGGGTGTCAAGGTTTGCTGATGAAACAGATCGGGTATTGTCATTTAGCCAATTATAAAGCCTGGTTGTAGGTGAAAGCCCTTTCAAGGGAGAGAGAGTCGGTGTTCTGGGGGCGTAGCTATGCCCTAAAGACTCTCGGAAATGAAGGTAGCAGTCATAAAAATATGTTTGAATCAAGACTACAGTAAAGCTTCATTCTCGAAATTCCTTTCACCCCAACATAACCATCAAGCCATCAAGAGGGGCAGAACCCAACCCTACTTTACATTAAAACAAATTTTTTTCTGATGGCCATCTACATGGCTTGATATAATTTTTGGATATAACTCCTCTGAACTTACTGTTTGTTCTTTCTTTGTTTAAAATTGGTACAATCTGTAGCTATATTCAATCTAAATAAAGCCAACTAATTGAAATTACCAACACTAAATATGATGTGAATCAAATATAACTGATGTTAGATATGTATTTCTTATTGAGATTGCTAGTATTGAACGATGAAAAATTCAGATATTGTTTCATTAATTTTTGTAAAGTTGGTAATTGTACTTGTTTTGAACTGAGTTCAATATTTGGCTCAATCTGCTTGACAAAGATCTTGAGACCAGAAGGCATCATATAATTCTATTATTGTTAAAAAGGCTGTTACATAAAGCCTGGCTACAATGATATAGATTTTTTCTGGCTTAGTTGTGTACAGTGCCACCGAGAGGTTTTGGAGACCTTGCGGCAGAATCGAAAGTGGAGGCCTTTTGCAATTGAGCAAGCAGAACAATTTTGGCGACCATGCCATTTATATTACCTAAAAATTCATTTCAGAATATTTTTTGCCATCACCTTGCACTCGTTTAAAAGTTTAAAAATTTGCACAATTTTGTTGGGTCTAAAAAGTTGCTTTCACAAACTGGAAACCTTGTGAGTGCCCTAATCCTCAAGCCCCCTTGGCCAATTTTCCATAGCCACCAACTTTCGGTAACCTTTGTTGTGAGCTTGTTTTTTGGTGTTTTTAAAAACAGATCAAAAACATTTTAGAAACATTCTAGATCATTGCCTCAGAAGGACATCCCTTTGCTCATTTTGTATAGCACCTAAGCAATTCAAGGGCACTTTTTGCTCATGCAGTTGGCAAAACTATTTCATTTAATTTCATTTTATAATATTTATACAGGTTTAAGATTCATACATATATATGTTTTTCAACCTGACCTGTTTAAAAGATTAGAATAAACACTAATACTAATAACAAAAGAAATTTACTAACCTAACCTAATTTACAATATTATATAACACTAAGGCTATAAAAATAGCAACTCGGTGAGCTATAACAATAGCAACTCGGTGAGCTGCAAAGGGGCAGGTAAACTTAATTTTGGAAAAAAGGGGGGTATGTGCCCACTGTGCCCCCAATCTTATGCCTTTGCTTGAATTTAAGACATCATTGATGCCTTGACTGATATATTAAACATATGTGAGCCAATGTTGGTAGCAATCTGAAATCCTTTGTTATTTTCCATGAACAGGCAATCCCCCAAATTACCATCAAGTGGGTTTTAAAGATAAAGCCTATATATTTGAAGTTGTATATTTTCAATAGTGTTTAGAATGCATCCGATGGTTAGCCCCCTTGTCCAACCAATCAACACTCTAGATTTTATTCTGATTGACAATGTTGTCTTTGAATCCTCTTGTAGCTTTCTTGGTAGGTCTGGCTTTATCTGCTAACCCACATAAATCCCATGTTCCTGGCTGAAAAATGAGCTTTTGCTGTGTTACTCAAAATGCCACACCCTTGGAGAACTTTTAGAGTTTTGGAAAAGATATGAGTGATGATAATACTAGGAAATGTCTTACCTGTAACTGAGATACATCAGTATCACTTGTGTTACAAGCTAAATCACATCTCGAGAGTGATTGAAAGTGATTAATGATCAAGAGTTTTTCATTAGTTGACTTACCTAGTCATCATTTCTAACAGCAGTTATGAAAATATGGCATGAGAAATAGACAAGTTTGGTATGGCATCCTTTATGAATACACCAAAGGGCTCCAAAATCATAGTCACTGCTATTTACTATAACTTTCATGCAATATTTTAATTTAAAAGTATAATTGTATATGAAGATCATCTTGAAACAGGGAACAGGAAAAAAAATTGTTCATTGCATGAGGATTTAAATCTTAGTACCTTTGTGGGGTTTTTTTAAAAGGAAAGTAACATGTATTCTTATTTATCCAAGCTAATCCTGTCCATGGGCTGCAGCAAGATGAAAATCAGCCTATATAGCAGAAGAAACTCTTTAAACTGAATTGGGTCAAAAATAAGCAAAAAGAAAATCCTAGACTTTTTCAGAAGGAAAATTAAGCAAGAAGACTATAAACTTTGCTAGTTCTATTTCTGTGACTCACTAGTCCAATTTGCCATTTACAAATTGGTTTCTGTGACCCACTAGTCAAATCTAGGCAAGAGGTGTCAATAATGATTTTTAATAAGATCTTGATGAAAGTTCATCAAAGAGTTTATTAAAAGATGCAATATAAAAGAGCAAAAAACATTTTCATTTTTTAATGATTTCCTTGTGTGTAACAGAGTTGTGCAATGGATGTGTGTGGCACATGCCAAGACATGCGTAAGTAAAAAATATGAGGCCCCTTACACCTGAAGACATATTCATGATGAAAGTTATGCAAATAAAGAGTTTTTAAAAAATCAACTATCTTATGTAATTTAGTTCTTCATACTTTCTTGTAAATATTGAATATTTGTCACAATATGAAGTTTTTGGAGACTTTTGGAGAATCTTCAATAAAGGGTGAATGAAACTTGTCATTTCAAGAATGATTTAATCATGCCCCACTGTTCATGCAATCCATATTTATTGCAGCATTTTTGCTATTTCGAAAATATAAGAATGTTTTTGAATTCAAGGTCTTCCACGTTCATGTCAATGGTGTACTTCACTGCAAAGTTAGATATCGCCAGTTTGCAGATTTCAATGACAAGGTATCATAAGACATCATCACATCAATTTCCCTTATCAAATTCTCTATTACAATATTTTAACTACATGTCAAACTGTAACAGTTGTCAAACTACTGAGACCAATGTAGTGCTAGTTATAATGTTGGGCATGAACTCAAAGTGCAGGTAGTGGTAGTTTAAGATATGTTTAATTTAACAGAGTTTGTGTGAAGAAGTCCTGTATCTTTGGCAAAAAATGATTTTAAGGTTATTTGTCATTTTAACACAAAATTTTCAAAGATAATGCTTGAAATCCAGTGCCTGATTATCTAGGTTAGGAAATGGCCCAGACAGGATTAATGCCATTATAACTGTCCAAATCATAGAATGTTTTTATTGGAAATATATTTGTAAAACTTTACTTTTACTATAATTCATCCGTATTGTTATTGCTTCAGGGAAGATCTTTTCTATATAATTATTTAGTTCTGCCTAACAGATAAGTGTCTTTATAGGTTAGGTCTGATATCAGTATCAAGTATACTGTTCTTTTGCTTTGCAGTTAAAGAAAGAATTTAGTGATCATGTCCCTACAAGGCTTTTTCCTGGAAAGAAGCTCTTCAGTCTCACAGCTGACCAGCTGGAAGAAAGACGACAATATCTGGAAAGCTATATCCAGGCCCTGAGTCAGGATGCTCTCATAGCGTCCAGTGAAACTTTCAAGGAGTTTTTCTTGGCAACACAGAAGGTGAATCACCTATGCATTCAATCCTGATTTTTACCTTTAAAGATGTGAAACATAGTACCAGATGCTTTGTCAGGTTCTGTTTATTCGTTGTCTTTTCATCCTTCTCATCCTCTCTACCGCCAACAATCTTCTACATCTCCCACGATACTGGATATCTTTTTCTTTGTGCTGCTTTATTCCCTACCCACGACCTAAGCAAATTCCATCTTGCATTCGTATAACTTGAAAGGTTTTCATTTAGGCTACAAGAAAGGCATCAGCAGAAGACGTTGACTTGGACATTTATTTGATGAATGGAAACAAATTCACTATAAATGTTCTTTCCACCGATGAAACAGATGAAGTGTTAGAGGTAGCATATGCTTTGCTTCAAGTTCATGAAATTTGATATACCTGTATCTAGAAAATTGGCAATAGTTAACAAATATAGTTTTGATAACGACTGTTTTGTGCATCGTCTCAAAAAGTGCCAGGGAACGTATTCTATCCAATTTCAGACAAACCAATCCTTAACTTTCTGAATTGGCCATTTTAATCTGCAACTGTTACCACGCTTGTTTGCATCAGCATTTTTGTCCGATTGTTCTACAGTTTTCTGCATACAATGTTTTGGACATCGCAAAGTTAGAGAAAGTTCAAAAGTCCAATTGTAAAAGTTTTGTCAAATTGGTTTTACTTGTGTTTCTTAGATTGCGATGACGAAGATTGGTCTAGCAAGACAGTTGTTCCACTATTTTGGACTCTTTCTTATGAAATGCGACGAAAGTGGCAAAACCACTGGCACAGGTATAAAGCTTTGTTTGAAACCGAATATACATTGCATTCTCACTCCCTTACAAAAATTGTTTTATCCGTTCATCAAAAAAGTTTTAGTATTATCATCACTTGGACTTCTCAGCAGCTGAATGCATCACCTACGAATAATGTAAATTTAGATATTGAATAGATAAACGAATTGAATTAAAAGACGTTGAAGAATGTGCCTTGGCTACAACAATAGATAGTTATACATCAGAACCTTTAAAGCGACCTATTCAAACCCTCCTTTAGAAGTCTGAATAGAGAACAGGAACAGCTGAAAGAAAGGGAAAGAAGTTTGAGAACAAATTCTGTGTTCTAAAATATGATATTCCTTATGAAATTAAAAAATTATCGGGCATACAATCAATTTGGATTTCTCCAATGAATGATTCAACTTGTGATACTTTGATACTTTCTTGTGATACTTTGCGTTGGACTATTGCTGTTCCAACTTTCTGTAGAGATAATTGCGTATCGGTTGATCATATTTTAAGTAGTTTAGTGCACAGGCAGTCATTTTATGACAATTAGAAGAATAGAGCTGTGCTTGCAGCTGTACTACCTTGAGTTGAAATGGATAGATTTGGAATATTCTTTCGCTTTGTTAAGTTATCATGGAAAGAAATAGGATCTAAGAATTTGTTTTTCAGCTGTGCGAATGCTTCAGGACTTCGAATCGCCGTTTCTGTCACTTAAAGAGACCAAAGAGCAACACAAGATTGCCATTCGAAAGTGGTAGGCTGCTTTTTTATGCTTTTTTAGTTTTTTCTACGATTCATTTGAATCTTCAGCTACTCACCTTTGTTGTCGGTAGTGCTCTGGCCAAAGTGTCTTGTACCGTGCGATATGTGGAAGTGCAGCTTTCTGCTTATGCTGTAGTCAATTGGCCATCATGCCTTTTCTCCTGACTTTGATACCGGGATTACTCTCCGTTTCTTAGCTCATTTAATGATTCCAGGTGCAGTTAATGGTAAAGACTGGGAAATCCGTAGAAGTGTCTCCACCTCCCACCTCTGTAGAATCTGCACGTAGGCTATTTAATCACAGCTGAAGGCTGAAAATTCTGACTCTTGCCTTTACTTTTCATTGTCTTTTCAAGCTACTGGTCACCAAAGTATGATGATGACGTCATGACGGACAGGGTTGGACTCAATCTGCTGTATGCCCAGGTTCGTTTTCGCTAGTTTTTCTTATCAGAAGTAGTCAGTTGTACTGGTTAATTATCCAGGCCATTTTCCATCGGATCCAATTTTCTTTCAAATTTGTTAGTTTTTATGCCTTAAATTTTAGGTTTTAGACGACTTTGACAAAGGCTGGATCGTTACTTCTGACAAAGAAAAAGAGCGCCTGAAGACGCTTAGAGAAGCTGGCTCTAAGAAGGAGGTCTGTTATTTACCTTTTCATTCTCGATATTATATTGCACCATATTTTCTTTGTCCGAACGCTTTTGTTAATAGGCATTTCCAGAGGTAGTCTTTGTTAGCAGTGATAGGAAAGAAACTATTTATATCATAAAATTTTTCGGGCGGCTGGGGAGGGAAACCTGAAAGATGAAAGTCTTGTAGAGAATGATGTGATGGGGGAAAGGGAAAGAAATCAAGAAAAAGGCTGTTGTTTGATTTATGCAACAGAATAAAATTCTGCTTCTAAGGCATAACAATTTGTGCTTACTGTTTTTTGTTAAGAATTACTCCCAGGGCTAGAGTTTTATTAACGACTAGCATTGCTTATCATGAACGATTATTGCTGGCTAGACAAGAAACACAGTTGATTGCCTCCATTATTTAATCTGGTGATATCTTTACAAAAAGTCTCTGCAGAACGTCTTTGCAAAAAGCGTTTGCTAAACTTGACATGACTTTCTTTGCGTTTTAGTTTCTCAATCTGGTAAAAGGACTCAAATTCTATGGATACATCCAATTTCAATCGTGTTTTTGCGACTTCCCAAAGGAAAACTCAAAGACCATCTTCACAATTGGCGACAGGCAGCTGTGCATGAGGGTCCTGACGGAGGAGGTTTCTATGGCTATTGTGATTAGTTCTAATGTTGTTGATGTTGTACAAAGTTCCCTAAGATATAAGGTTTTTTTAATTAAATGAAAGATTGTTTTGATTTTAAATTGGTCAATGCTTGAAGCTTTGTTTAGATGTAAAAACCCGAATAAGTTGTCCCTAGACATTAAGCAAATAAGGCACAATATGTTTTACATCTGGAGTGGTTCACATGGCCTTTTGTATGCACTTATACCGCATTTAAATTGCACTTTATATCGCGCTTAAATTGCAGCGCGCTTAAATTGCAGTTACATTGCACCTCAATTTTTATTATTTTCTTCAAATTGGCTGTTTTAGGTAATTATTAATTCTAAGATGTTATGAACTTGAATGAACAAGAGCTTGGATATTTTTGACAAATCAGTACTGAACCAATGCACGAATCTGTTGATTTTGTATACTTAAACTCTGGCAAGTAACTTCAAATTTGAGATACTTGAAATATTCTTATCCGTAATTGTTATTTTATTTTTTCCAGAATACAATAGTAGAGGGAAAATTTTTAGTTTCGAATATAAAGTGTTGGAGATTAATCGCAGCAGTGAGTTTTTAAAGAAATCTTTCAAATTTGCTTGCATTCAGAGATTTTGTCTTGTTTTTCTAAAGCAAAATGTCGATTAGTATTTCATTTTTTCAACTTTTCCCCCTTTTTCCATAATTCCTCTATTCCTTACTTTCAAGACTCCTAAATCCTATTTGGGAATTAGAATCGATCCGACCCTCGGTAAAATGATTTTTCAAAAATTTGAAAGCGCAAACTGCCAAGGAAATATAGAATAAAGTATCCTCAATTTTTATTATATCAACATCCTCAAGCATGAAATATCCTCAATTTTTATTATCCTTGGTAGAAAATTCGGCGGTCTGCTGTCTGCTTCTTTTAAGATTGTCTCCCATAAAATAGTTTGTTTTTAAAATCTTCTGAACTAAGGCGTGTATCATGTTTATTGTAACCTTGCCTGTTTCTTCTCTTTATTCTCGATTTATTATATCATACTATAAAGCATAACAATAAAAAACTTCGTAGCATTACCTAATGTTTCACTATTATCATTCCTTTTAAGGAACCAATAAATGGTTGCGATGCTTCAATGGACTTGAAATTTTCGTTCGAATATCTTTTTAGCAAAGACAAGCTGAAATGGATAACTGTTTTCAGCGATGAGGTAATTTTTTTTAATTTCTGCAAATGTTGCTCTTTGCAAATAACGAATAAAATATAATTTGCAATGTTTTGGCACCGTAATGAAATCAACCACTATATCTGATGCAAACACATTTTGGTCAACTAAATTATTCTTTTCTGGTATTAATCAGTCATCCTCGTTACATTTTGGAGGGCGCATTTATTTTTCTGCATATTTTAAAAGGATTTTGTAAAAAGTTTTCAGTGATAAACTTTTGTGTCAAAACCTGTAGATAAAATTAGTGGAAAGCGAAAAAGTATGTCAAGCCTCCTCTACTGAAGAAACATTGAAAAGTAAGAGGTTCACGATTCCATTTAAATAGCTGTTATTCGATTAAGAATAGTTAAAATGATCTTTGTATGAGATGAAGAAATTTGTTGACTTTCAAGGGAATCATGATGAGCATGTGCCTGCAAGGCATTGTGGATGAAATTATCAGAGAAAAGGATGGCAAACCAATCAGGATGGTACCTATTTATTTAATGTCCTTTTCTACTCCATTTTCATTATTGCTGCCTCTAATTTTCGAAAGCTACCGTTTGACACCTGGTTACTTTTGCCACACAAAATTGCCTTCGGTATATAAGGTTTTTTGTGGTAGAAATATTCTCATCCATAAATATTTGTGCGAAGTTGTTTCAACTAAAATTAAAAAAGGTCTTGTTCACCATATCTCAGTGAGTTTAGGACATGATGCGAAAAATATGATCACCTTACGACAACTTTGGAACTGCAATATTAAAATTAAAAGTCAAAGGCTGGTATTAATTTTCGAATCTGGTTTTGCCGTTCTCCGAATTTCATTTATCAAGTTTAATGAGAATTCCTTCGTTGCATACCTTGTAAGAATGAAAACGTGATCCATATAAAAGGAGGGATGACATTGTTTCATATTTCATGATGATATCTTGCCATTATTTCATATTTTAAAATTACCAAAGCAAAGTATTTCGAAATTTTCAAATACACCATTCCTAATACCAGAAGAGAAATAGGTTAAATGAAGTTTTGAAAATCCTTATGCCAGCAAAATCCGTAAATCAAATAAATTATCAAAATTTCATGAATTTTTACTGTAAGTTTTTTTATCTGTATAACCTTTCAGCCACTATCACGACGAAAAAGTTTGTCACCGCCAAACTCGAGTCGTTCACCCAAAAAGGCGACATCAAAACATACGTCTCCAGTACAGTTTCTCAGTGAGGTAATGGTTTCAACTATAATTTATACCTCATCTCTGGCTACATCAATGTATCATTAGTATCACTAAATAAAAAGCAGTAAATAGATGCATTTTAAAAACACAGCTTTATGTTGCAATCATGAACAATTTTATGAAATATAGTTTTGGCAAATGATACGGTCACACCACTTTAAACAGGATCGCATCAAATTGAAATAGAAGTAAGGTCATGTTCCCTAGTCTTTTAGTTGAGACAGTTCAAGAACAAACCTATGTAAGCGCACTTTTTGAACACTCGGAAGTTTACTGCTGAAGACTATCTTTAAAGGCCAAGCAATTCTTTATGCAGTGGCTTAAGATCAAGGTTGTTAAAACTTACATGTTGCTTTTGATAACGCTTTAAAGGCTTATTTACTCCGAAATCCTTTTTGTCCTATGCGATCTCTGTATTAAAGCATTGCCGTTTGCTACAAACCTTATTAATATGTGTATCAAGCCCTTATTGAATGCATTGTACTGTATTTTTCTGTTCAATTGTTGCCAGCTGCACGATGTTGCTGGGTCTGATAATGGTGGCGCTACCGCTAGTTCTAAATCGATCACGGTTAGTGATTTTTTTGCTTTGCTTTTCAATGATATTTTTACGACACTCTTGCGTGGTTAGTGTCTGCCTGCGCTCTTGGTACACGTCACAAAATTGTGCTAACGTTTAGTAGCTTCCCCTTTCTCTTTCTCCGCTCGACGTTGACTAGTTTTTTTAAGACAACAATTTAACCCAGAACTGCACACGACACTGTCAATAACATACATCGAAAGAACAACTCTCTAATGAAAAACTCTAGTGAGCTTCGAGGTAATCAAAAGATTTGATAATGACGAAATATTTTTTCGGCAGAGCAAAGGTGATTATCTAAGTTAAAGACGATGCAGGAAACTAGCACTACAATAGAGAATAAGAATGGAAAAAAGGGTGGAAACAACTGCCTACTTTTTCATTAATGTTTTTGTTTTGAGTGTTTTATGTCGTTGATAGTTTTTGTGAGACTTACAACTCCTATTGAAGCTAGTAAATAACCTTAGGTCCTCGTATATATTTTGAAATTCCATTACTGTTCCATTTGTTACCCTTTTTTTGTGAAATCCGTACTTGCAATTGTTACTTTTTTGGGCTGGGGAAATGTTGCCGAATCTAGCTTGCTGCGTGTTCATATCCTGTTTGCGCCTGCCGATTAAAAGGGGAGTTGTTCTTTTTTATTTATAAGTACATCGAGCATGAATTTAGCACATTCTAGTTTGTAGCAGTCATCTTGTAAGTGCCAACAGCAATAATACCAACACTTTTGCGTTGTTCTGAACACGTTCATCCGTAAGACTTTTTTCAGATTCAAGACTCTTAAGTAAATATAAAAACTCATCAACTAAAACTGTTTTTGCGGGCACTTTCGGGAAATTTCGGGGAGGTGGGCGATTTCGGGGAGGTGGGCGATTACGGGAAGGTGGGCGATTTCGGGGAGGTGGGTGATTTCGGGGAGGTGGGTGATTACGAGACAGTGGGTGATATATATTTCTCTAGTCCCTATATTTTTATAAAAAATCTAAAATTCCAATAAATTTTTCCCTTTCTTAAAATCAACACAAAGATACAGTTAGCTAAGAACTTAATAAGATTGGATCACTATGTGTGTAACATTTGATTGACAGCTTTATTTTGCGCTGGTCACAAAAGGGTTTTGAATTTTCTAGTAGACTAGCTGAAGATATTGAAGAGCTTTTTCCAACTTTTACTTACAGAGCCGCGTCCATGATCTGCTAAGCAAGAAAAATTCCTTATCAAACGATGTTTTTGAAGACATAGGTGATGATGATCTTTAAAAGTAATCGTAAGTTTTTTTTATTTAAGATTCAAGGTGAATTATTTATGCTGTCATAAGCAAAGTAATTACATATAGATGAGTATCAGCAATTAAAACCTCATATTCATTTTTAACTTCATTCCGAGTTTTAAGGGAATTTTTTTATAATTTTATGGCAATGATTTTTAGTAGCTGATAGTTCCTCAAATCGTTCAAAAAAGGGTGTAGCCCTATATCCGGGAAATTTTTTTTTGAAATTCGAATACGTAAAAGACAAAAATTTAGGTTTTTTTATTTTTTGTCGCTCATTAGGATTTATATAGAAAATATGTCGCCAGTTTTTGAAATTTTATCTTAAGCTGCAAGCAAATTTTTAATTCAGTTTAGATTTCTGTAAATAGAATGTTGTATTAACCATCCATTTCGGATAAAGTAATCAATTTTGTTTTGTTTAACAACAACTTTTCTTTTGCTAGTAAGGTCTTATGTTTTCTTCCAATCTGAATTTTTATGCAACTTGTTTATTTATCTTAACTCTCTAATTATCATTGTGTATCATTTCCAAGTTGACTGAAATAATCAGCAACTGCTAAGCCTTCAACGTTGGATTTTACAAGGCGAGTAGATTTGTATTCATCGCGCCTCTCTTGTCTCATCCTAGTTATTTTGAGATTACCAAATGCTATTCGTCCATTACAGTTGTATGCTCGACGCAAATAAATGTAGAAGTTGATCAGGCATTGCACGATGGGATGCAATCAAGTTAACACTTGACGTCTGTTCTTTGATTGTTGTTCTCTGCTCACAGTCAAAGGTAGCTCTGTATGAATATGGGCTCTTTCGATTTTCGCATGAAACGTGCCGTACAATCAAAGGTAAAATCAAGCAGTCATGCTGCAATACCTTTTGCAGAACTGCCCTTTCAGATAAAATCTCTGAAATTTCACTTAATGCTTATAGAAAGGAAAATTGTCGTGACAAACTATGCAAGTGCCTAATACCAAATCTGACGTCAGAATATGGTTACATTAACAGCTCTTGGACAAAATATTTACGTCATCGACAAAAATGCCGTCTTCAACAAAATAAAATACTTTTGTACCAAATGAAAGGCTTGTATAAGCTAAGGAATCACTGTCTATTTTCCTTGTCATTTACAGAATATTACAAAAGTTAAAACAGTTAACGTTTCAAGGTAATTATTGACGTCATCGATCACTTGACTTGAAAGATTTCTTTAGGCCCATCTTGAAAAACCAATCAGTTACCGACATACAGTCATATTCTGAAGTCAGATTGGGTAAAAGTCTAGTTTGTCACATCTCCCTGTCCATAACTGCAAGTTTAATACTTCCTTGTTTGTGAGTTTAATTGTCAAATACAAAATTGATTTATGTGTTTAGAATTATCTGCCGCCAATGTGCAAAAATTAATTTAAGCTATTTGCATTGAACAAAGGACAGAGGATGTGTACTCATTTGGAGATGGATTGTTTGCTGTGTGAGTTCACTTTTAGAATTTTTTGGACAAATATCTCGAAAATGTCCGGAACGATTTTACTAAAAATTTCCTCACTGCGGCATTTGTTTGCAGTCCATACGATTGACAAGGCTTAATGCCGCACAATTCTCATAAACAATATTTATTTAGGGAGATTTCACCTAATTAATCGTTGAGAATTCAAAAACGGTCCTGCTTTCCAGATAATTACAAAAATTTTCGAGTTTACGTCCGTATTTTCTAATTTTATGAATGGCGCACCAGCCCTCTTCTTTCACAGCAGTTGTTTAACTATCTTCTCCTATGTGCATCGCAAGTCTATGACTTAACCGTTAGATTATTAACTCGAGTTAGAGGCACACACTCTCTCTTTTACTTTATTTGCCTAAGTTAGATATGCGTCCTTTTTTCTACTTTTCTTTTATCTTAAAGAAAGTTGCGTCATAAAGCGATCTTGCCGGAAATTTTCTTGCTGGAATTCACACCTTTCCGGTTGAATAACTTAGTTGCCGACTTCTTGAACATTTTTTACCATTTTTTTAAAAATATTAAGAGTTATATTTTTGGTTTTTATTTCCTAGTTCCCACTAGTGCCTCCAAGTGGGTTCAAGTGCGTTTTTCTCTCATTTACTTTAATCGAATTCAAGAAAAGGGATAAGGGACTTGAACATTTTCACTCGCTGTATGAAGACAACTTAAAATAAGCCTGGAAACTTTGAGAAAAGGTTGACGATTTTGTTAATCCTTCTACTAATCCGCGCGTTTAGTTTTTTGGCCTTTAAGTGCGCTCATTCCCTCCAAGTTAAACGACAGGAGCATTTTAACTTGGCATTTAACGTGCAAATTTTGTCCTCGGTGTTATGTATCTGAGGGTTGCTTTAAGTTCTTGTTTTTTTGGGTGTTTTAAGTTCTTTTTTTAAATGGGTAAGTGCTTTAAGTTCTTGAAGGTTGCTTTAAGGTTTTTGGGTGTTTTTTGCAAGAGACCCAATTGAATGTGATTTCTATGTGTTATGTCGAGTGGCACAAGCCCAACAAAAACACACTTTGCGTAATTGACTATCTAGAATATCACCCAAGGCATATTTTGTTTTTGTTGTCACTCCGCCGTGAGTGGATTTTCCTCTCACGTTACTTTCGATCCCCATATATTTCCTCACCCCAAAACTGAAGTATCTCGGTTTCCACTCTAGCAGCTAACGAGTTTACTTACATGGTATAAAAACGTGGATTTCCCATGAGTTTTCTTTAAGTGTAAAAATTTGAATTTTCCACGAGTGTCAAAACTGGGAATTTATGAATTTTCATGTATGAAAACTATGATTTTATGGAACTAAAACTCATCCACTCGAGTTTGTTTAGTCTCAGCCATTCAAAAAAAATGAAAGATTCTCTTAACCAGCCCCTATCCTCCTAAAACCAGCCCTACTGTATCAACTGAGTTAAGATTTTCATTCACCCCACCTTAAACCAGCCGTACTTTATCAACACAGTTGATAGTTAGATTGATGTTATCAGCATAGATGGTTTCTCAGAGAATTGAAAAAGAATTGCTCAAAGCCTTATATTAAAAGCAATGGTCCAAGACTAGATCTGTTGATCTGTGGCAGAATATCAAGCAAGCATCTGGGAGTACGGCGTGACGATATGCACATCATTCGGGCTTCTTGGCAAGCACTTGCTTATACCCAAGTCTTCGTTTGTATTTTGCAAGATTCTGCAGGACTTGTTTCTTCAATTGCTGATTGGATAGTAGTTGTGGGCAGGGGTGTCGTACTAAAACGTTAGGCAGATGGCTGTACTGTAGGGAATTTCTAGAAGCCACACCCAAGATCACACCCTATATACTTTTGCCACACCCTATATACTATACATATTTGTGTTAAGAGTTCTTCTCTGTTGGGTATATGGAATCATTCAAGCTATCCACGGACACAAAAAGATTGATAGAAAATTGCTTATTAACGGAAAATCACAATAATAAGGGATTAATCAACATTTGCAAGTAAAAAAATCACTCAACCAAATATATATTGGCTTGTTAAATCTCTTTTAAATTAAATACCCCTGATATCTCTCTTAATTTTAACAGGGTGGTTGAGCCCCTCCCTCCGACCCCCACTCCTCCAAGGCACCACTGGTAGTGGGCATTTGATTTAGATAGCTGTAGCCCAGTAACAAGACTGAAGTAATTTTTCTGTAACAGTGCATCCTCGTCTATTCGAACCTCGGTTACCCAACCTCGTTCATCCGAACACCCTTTTAAGGGGTGATATTTGATATCGAAACATATCTTCAGTTGACAGAACACAATTTAAGCCCGTTTCTAATTAAATTCTACCCTGGGTACCAGACTCACTATATAAAATAATAGAGAGTCTGGTCTAGTGCGCCCCATTCTCGTTCTGGTGAACTTACTTGAAAGAACTGAAGTCTATTTAACAGACTAGGCCTGTGAAACAAGATTGTCAGATAAATTACAAAGAAACTCAGTAGTCAGAGGAGTTTTGGGAAATCTTAAAGCACGTGTTTTATTTAGTTCTTTAAAGTCAACATTTTTAATACATTGGTAATAGACTTTTCTGCCTCAAGATAACAATCAAATCAGGTTTAAAACGCCATTTGGCAGCAAAAAACATGTGCGAAGCATGAAATTAAAGTTAGCACAATGCAGTTATTAAATGTTAATCATTATCAAATTTCGTATACAACTTAAAATAAGTCTTTTGTAATTTTCCTCATAAATTGTGTGTACTTTCAACATCTACTTCCTCACTGTGAAGGCAGCGCGCTTGGACACCGCGGCGGTTAGAATCATCACGTTGGAAGGTCACCACAGCAAATATGGGCAATATGACAAGCGAAGCCCCGTATGCCGGGCGAAATATTAGCTATGACTGATTTACTGTGTTTGTTGTTGTTTGTTCTCGGCGCCTTGCGGTGTTTCTCATCTACTGCATTTCACTACAAGGACTAATTTCTTCGCAACGAGAGGCATAGCCTGAAATATCAAAGACTTTCCAAAAAGCCAGTTGGCAATATGGCGAAGGTGTCTCTTCTCTCTACAAACAAGGCTTTCAGTGCTGTTCTGTGTTCAGTTCCACAATATGCGGAAAATATTCTTTGAGTACAGTTTTAACAGCATCTTCAAACTCAATCGTTACGGTCGCTAGCATTTATTTATGTTCTGTTCTGTTCAATGTTTTACACCAGAGCTAAGTTTATTGTTTCGCTGTGACCTTTGAACGTACAGAAATCTGTACACTCGCTCCTGATTGGTTAATATCAGCGCACCAGAACGAGAATGGGGCGCACTAGACCAGACTCTCTATTTTATTTCATATATAGTGAGTCTGGTACCCAGGGTAATTAAATTCAAGCCCCAAAATAAAACCAGAATGTTACCTTCCTATCTCCTTTAGTGAAACTATCTGTGAGATCAATAGACCAATTCGACTTACGGCCTCGTTTTGGAAATTTCTCCAAATTTAATTATACGACTTTTTAAGCTCAGATTTGGTTTTATCACAATATATTTAGGCTGGATACAATTTTTCAAGATTTGGGCTGGATCCGAATCTGAGGTTAAAAATTTTGTAAAAAAGAATTGGAATATTTTTTCAAAACGAGGCCGTAAGTCGAATTGCTCTATGGAAGTCTGTGACAATTTTCTATAAACATAATTCCATCCCTTATGCCATGGTGTTACTGAAAACTAAAATGATATTGGCTCTTTCCCATGTCTTGTGTGTGATTTCTCCTGAACGCAGTCTTATCCCCAATCACCCAAACTTACGACCTATCCGAACAGCTATTTTCACATTTCATTCCAAGCTGTTCAGATAAATGAGGATGTACGGTACTATCAATTTCAATAATTTTGCGTTAAAAGATAAATCAATTAGATTTAATTTCCATCGAGTTTGTAAGGGCCTGGCTAAACTAAACAGAAATTGTTATTTGATTTCTAAAAATATGCCTTAACGCAACAATTTCAGCTAGTTGAGTCAACGTGTTGCATTACTTCCGTTGCTCTACAGGGGCGCCTGCACAAGATTAAGGCAGGAAGGGCAGTGGTGCTGAGGGCAAAAAGTAGAATTTTTTTATTACCATAATCGAGTACTTGTGAGGGCGGGTGGTACAAAATAACATATTTGAATGCATTCTAAATTTGCCTCACTGATGTTTCGGCTTGTTCAAACATGTTTGTGTGACTTCGTCGTGGCACACAAATCTAAATTTAGCCACATTATCAGCCGACAATACAACTGC